CACTGATTTTTCAACAGCTTCTAGGATTAAGTTGTTTCCACCCCACCGATGGGTAGTAGTGCCCCACCACAGCTGAACTTTTGCCAACCTCCACCATCAATGTGGAGGCACTTTCAAGACCCACTGGTGCCCAGGGGTCCCTGTCATTTTTAGCCTATCGGGAGAAAAGGGCGCTCTTTGCTTATGAGCATCACTGGTGTCGCCCCACGCTTATCAGGCTGGTGAGCGGCAGAATTACAAAGCAGGAAGAGCAAGGGCCTTGAAGTCAGGCAAAGCTAGCCTTAAATCCTACTTTATGCCTTTCTAGCCGAGTGACCTTGTGTGAGCTACTTAGCTTCCATGGACAATGAGGATAATAACAGTGTTACTTCACAGGTGTGTTGTGTAGATAAAATGAGATAATATCTGATAAGCACCGTATTTCACACCTGCCACTTGCCAAGTTCTCCAAATATATGATACCTTTTGTTACACACGCAGCTCAATGCAGATTATGCTGCAGTAAAACATTTCTAATAGGCATTGCTACGAGAGGCTTCTTATTGTATTTTTAACCTGGTACAAATGCTAAATAGCCAGTCTAGTCAATATTTTCAAATTACATTAGAGAAGAGGGTTATGTCCATGTCATATGACAAATTCCTTGTATTTTTGCCTAAGGATTTCTTTTTTTAATTTTTATTTTCATCAGTATGTGTTTGCAATACATAATGATCACACTCACCACGAGCAGATGGTACCTGCACATAACACATCTTAATTTTTGACATCCTCTTCCCCCTTCCAAGGTTTTCTTTGTAGTGCTAAGGTTTTCCTTATTATGCTATTGTTCCTGAGCACAGATTCAAAAATCCAAGATTAGAAATACTATGTAAACATTTCATAGCTGTGAACATCATTATATTTTGTTCTTTCGTGCTACTCATTGACGTGTTATGGTCAGTAGCATTTTATGAGAGTTGGTAAAGAAAAAAGCAGCAGTATCAAAGTAGTATTTATTGAAATAAAACACAAACAACATAGAAGAGCAGGTACAATGATCTACCACAAAGAAGGGGTTGAAAGGGAACTGGTAAACAAGGATCCTTGCACTGGAGGTGTGTACTTTGCCCTAAGTGAAACATTAAGGAACTCTGAAACTTTTGTCGATAGTCCTGAATGCAGACTTCCTGGAATTATTTGGCCAGGTCGGCTGGAATCAGCTTCCAGGTGCTGTTTAGAGACAGGTATGCAGTGTGGAGTGTCTGAGAGAGGAAGCTGAGGTGAGAACACATCACGAGCGTTCTTTACTTGGATGAATGAAGTGCTCTAGAAATCTGAGATCCGTGTACGCTTTTCTATGAAAGAGGGGCTTGCAGGGAACCTGGCAATTGAGAAGGGTGCCGAGGAGACCAGTGAAAAAGCATGAAAACCCGAGCACATCATTCCTGTGTATACAGCCTGAGAAAGGCAAGGCTGAGCAGCATTTTGAGTGTGAAGGAGACATTGTGATGCTAAGCGTCTGTCCTCGGCTTTATCCTGAGAAAATGGACTTTATGTGGTAACACGAGAGGTGGGTTAGCAAAAAATTGGCCTATGGCAAAAGTTAAGAGACCAAAATGTTTATTAAATAAAGCTTGTGTGGATTGTCTGGCTATACACGGAAAAAAATAGTAAATATAGTTCTATGTTTTAGTTTCCAGTGTGATGGAGAAGATTTGATTGCTGTTTTCTTTTCTCCACATTCTCTGTCTCTGTCCCTGTCTCTCTAAGATCTCTTGAGACCACATTCAGCCACAGCAACCCCAATCATCACTAATGCTGTAAAATGGCAAACACTGCTTTTAAGAATAGATTTCTTTTTAAAAATCCCGGTAAAATTCACCATCGACACCATTTTATAAAGTGTATAATTTGGTGGCTTTTAGTACATTCACAGTGTTGCACAACCACTGCCGATATCTTGTTCCTGAACATTCTCACCACCCTAAAGGAACTCTTGTACCCATTAAACAATCATTATTTATTCTTCCTTCCACTCAGCCGCTGAAATCAACTCTGCCTTCTGAATCTACGGATTTGCCTTAGGAATACATTTCTTTTGGAATTTTCTGAATTCTGCATTTAACTCCTCAGCTAGAAACTGCAGACTACTATGTGTATTCGCATCTGTGTGGAGTGGGGAGGGAAGAGAGAGAGATGGATGGGAATGTGTGAGTACATACATGAACGTCAGCGTTCCCGAGAAACTTCTCAAGGTCAAATTATTTGTAATAGTCAAACAAAATGAAGAATCAAGAGGCTTTCAGTTAGATGTCTGTGACTTAAAGTAGGCATCTACATTTAAATTTTCTAGTCAGTCTTAGAATATAAAAATCTCAAACACTTCTTGAAATTTGCCTATAGTATTGAGAAAGACCTGACTAGAAAACGTGGCTTTATAGCTCCTAAGTTAGGGCATAAAGTTTCATTCCCAATAAAATCTGTGTCCTAAATCTGAGCTCTTCCTATAATAGCTGGCACTATTAGAGTAGTGACCATTCTTCATTCTTTTTTTTTTTTTTGTCTTCTTGAGACAGGGTCTCCTTATGCAGTTCAGGCTGGCTTTGTAGCCTAGGCTGTTCTTGAACTTGCAGCGATTCTCCTGCCTCAGCCTCCTGACTGCTGGAACTACTCACGTGCGCCACCTCACCCGGCCCCCTTCTTCATCCTGCCTCGGTCCTGGTTAATGTTTCAGATACAGCCAAGGAAACTGAGGGTCCAGGTGGGTAAGAGAAAACACAATTTAAAAAATAAAATAAGATACCATTTATTTTCTAATCACAAATACTTGTTATCAATTTTATCTTAGAATACTCTTTTTATTCTGGCTGGAATTTTTAAAGGTTGGTTAATCTATTCACAACTTTGAAAAATGTTGAAAATGAGTTGAAAAATATTCTTTCTCTTGCGTATCTATTTTTTTGTAAACTGACTTAGTGCTTGCATGGCTTTCTTAGTTATGATCACATCGACAGAAAAGTTGTGTATTCTGTATTTTGGGGAACGTACAAATTACTTCTAGAAGAAATTTTAATTTTCAACTTCCAACAAAATGTTTCCTTGGAAGGAGAAGCCAGCAGGGTCTAGTGATTTAAACAGTGCTTTTACTATAGAATGTCAAGGCCAGGGAATTTGTGTCACTTCGCCTTTGGCATGCATTAGGTGGATTTTCATTTTCAAGTCTTTTCCATTTCGTTAGCTCCAACAAATACATCTTGGCTACTCACATTAATTAGGCTTTAGGATTCCCTTGCCAAAGCTCACACGGCTTTATTGTTTTGGGTCTTGCTTGTCTTCCTTAAATGTCTTTTCCACTTGTTCCATGGTTGTGTCCCACCTGTTCTCTCACCTGTTTGTCACTTCTGGCTTCTGGGGCCTCCTGGATGAAGTGTCTGCAGAACAGAGACTCCATACACATCTTGAAGTACAAGTTCACTCAGCTTCTCTTTCCACAAATACTTCCCAGTGTCTGTGGTGAGTTAAACATTTCTTGTAAGCAGCCGAACCTCCTTTAAGACACTCCTATGGTTGGCAGTAATTAATGTAAAGCACCTGGAAGTCTTTGCCGCTGAGACCCACCGGGCCAAACACGCCGAGCGTCATCATTCTTGGCGCCTTGCTTAGGGCCCAATCAATAAAACTCATCTCTGTAAGAAACCGTAGACTGTGGAAGAGCCTAACTTCCCAGTTGCCTTCTTTTAAAGGCCAGCGTCTGAGTATACTTTGGTTTACTTCTCAGGCACGGATGGAGGCACGACCCTGTTCTGCAGACCCACAACTCTGAGTGAAGAGAAAGGACTGGAAATTGTGTGAAAAGATAGAGTTTGAAAAAGGATAAAAGCAGTCAGTAGCGGCAAACTGTAAATCCCGTATCTCTACCCTGCAGACCACATCCCAACGAATCCAGCTGCACCCCGCCCTGAGACCTTTGGGGCTTCTGATTGAGAGCCAGATACCGGGCATATATTCAAGAGTGCTTTCCCTCCCGCAGGGCGTCACTCAGGCATATGCTCCAAGCGAGGAACCCCTTGGAGTTCCAATGTTTAGGATCACTTCTGGGGTTTGGGCGCCATCCATAAAGGTAAGCTTTGCCCCAGGGACTTCAGCAGGGGAGAAACTGGTCACCTGAGGCTTTCTTTAGTCATTCAACTGCCCCCTCCGGCAGGCCGCCGAATGAATGGCTTTATCTGGCCCGGAACAGACCCGAGGAGCCAGCCGGGTACCCGGTGTTCTCCACCCAGGGCAGGGGAGGCGCGGCCGGGAGGGTGCGGAGGGACGGCCGGCCGGCAGGGGCTCGTCGTGCCGCTGCCTGCTGTCCACGTCTGCGGACCGGCGTCGCCGGCCGGGGCAGCCGGGGACGTCCCCCTCCCGGCTCGGCCGCCGGACTCGGCTCTGCAGCCCCTTCCTGCGCTTTGATGCGGGGCCCCGCGGGGAGCCCCGCCGCGCCGCCGGGAGGAAAAACACCCCGCGCGGACGCCGGAATGGGAAGGCTGGGAACGCGGCTCTGAGACGGCTCTATTTACTTAGAGACTGCAGGGGCAGGGGGTTTAGCTCAGCGGCACAGCTCCTGCCTGGCAAGTGTAAGGTGTAAGGTCGCCAGTTCGAGTCCCGGTACCGGAAAAACAAAACAAAACAAAAATGTATTTAGAGAGTGCAACTTATTTTCGTGAAAAAAAGGAGCCTCCCGCTCCCCACCTGCGTGTTCCTCTCCCCTGCACCGCCGGGCAGCCAGCGCCCGCGCGCCCTCAGCACCCGCGGCGGGCCCTTCCAGCGCGCGGCGTCTGCGGGTCCCCGCGCCGCTCCCGCCCACGCGGCCGGGGCTGTGCGCACCCGGGCAGGCACCGCCTCGAGGGGCGGGGCGCACTGTAGCTCCGCCCCCGCTGGGAAAAGCTGCCCGGGAGGGGCGGGGCCCAGCCGAGTGGGAGGGGCCGGCGGAAGCTCCGCCCCCGGCCCTATAAGGGCTACCCGGGGCGCGGGCCGAGGGGCGGCGGCGCAGCAGGGCTCGGGGTCTGTGCGACCTGCGGAGCCACCCACCCGCGTCCATAAGGCTTTGCCTTTCCGACTTCAGCTACAGTGTTAGCTAAGTTTGGAAAGAAGACTACGAGGAGACCCCCGGGCAGTTTCTCTTTTGCCTTTTACCGTAGCCGTCACTGGGGTCTGCCTGGACGAGGCTGTTGGGTTTGCAGCGGTGCCATCGCCAGGTCCCGGGGCTCTGCTTAGCGAGCGCCTCGACGAGGGCCGAAGCAGCGGCAACCGGCAGCGGAAAGCAGGAGAGCGAGAGCCCGGTGTCATGAGCAGGGCCGGAGAGCAAGGCCGCCGGGGAGGATGCTGCGGTGAGTGGCGCTGCGGGTGCGGGCTCCAGGGAGGTGACCTCGCTCCTGGCCAGGCAGCGCGTCTGGGCGGAGCGCCTCTGCGTCCTGTTGTGATAGAAGAAGCCAAGGACATTCAGCTGTGAGCAGAGGGGCTTGCACGCAGGCATGGATGCAGTACGTTGGGGAGTTTAGATTTCTATAAAAAAGGAGTTGAGGAATTTTGAAACATGTTTCTTCACTGCATGTGAGCTTGTGCAATTATTGACCAACAGGTCGTGTTGAATTTAAGTCAGTGATAAAATAACGAAGCAATGTGCATCGATTCTTAGGTGACTTGATAAAATGTACGTGATTTGTCTTGCAGTGTAGTTTTTAACTGTCGTGTTGTAAGAGTAAATGGATAATTATTTGGAAGTCAGCTCATACAAGTGCCCAAATGTGCTTTTAAGTCCTCTCCGCTGTCTGTCTTTGCAGGAGCCTTTGCAAACTACCTGACCTCGGCCAAATTCCTTCTCTACCTTAGTCACTCTTTCTCCACTTGGGTAAGAATGTACAGTAATTTTTGCAGTTTCTTTTTTACTTTCATGACAACTGGTATTAAACCCACTGCCAGTGTTGTTATACAGTTAAGGAAATAAATCAACTTGAAAAAAATGCTTTAGTGAAAAAGTTATTTCCATCAAAGGTATTTGATGTTGCCTTTGGATGGGTGTCAGTAAGTTATCAAGTTATTGTACTTTACATAGATTGACAGCTCCCCCAAAACAGGATTAACAAAGACAGGGATATTTGCACTGTTGATAAATTGTATGTTGCATTACTATGCTCAATAAATGGTAATCTCTGATATTAAGAATCAGGGAGGGTGTTTCATATAGCTCCTGTCATTTCACATTTGAAGATACTTCTGTTTTCTTTTGTTAAAATTTAATTCCTGCATGTAGCACCATGAAAATACAGTGGAATGGTAGAGTAACTGACTTAGGCTAGTAATGGCATTTTAAAATTAATTAAAGTACAACTAGGCCCAAGATCAAATATTTGAGAGACAGAATTCTGGTCTTTAAGAATGTTATCTGTAGTAATGTAATATGGAAGCACCACAAACTGTCTTAAAAACCATCCAGTGGAAATTAGAAAATCAGTAACTAATGCACAATTCTTCTTCTCTCTTCTTACGTGGTTTTGGAGGAATTCCAGTATTCCTTTTGGTCTAGGTTCCTTCTATTAACTCTCCTAAAAAAGGATAATCCTAGAGGGATACTGGTTGTGTGTTCAGTGAATGATGATTGGAACCTTTAAAAATTAAATTTTTGTTATTGTTTAAAAGATATAAATCTGAATATATTCTGTGTATGACTCATATATGAAGTTCAAAAGAACCTTACATAAAGGCAAATAATTCTAAGAGTAAACTACCTGTTAATTTCCCTCTAAACTAGAAATTTCTTTTTTTTTTAAACTGGAAATTTCTATTGGGTCATCCTTCAGACTTGCAAGGAATTGTTCCATGAGGAGATCCATACTTTATGCTCCTGGGAAAGTATTAAGACAAGTCTTAGCCTTAAATCTTTCTAAGAAATAATTCAGAGATGCCTTTTCAGAAAAAGCAAACTCCCGTTTACTCAGAGAATTATGCAAAGATGATAAATAAATGTAAACAAAGTGGAATTGGTGTGAGTTTGTTTCAATTCCAATAGCTGATGAGTCTAAGTAGAAACCCAGTGAAATAACTTCATAAATCCAAGCCAAACATTTGTTCTTCTAATTTAATCTAGGAAGTATTAAGTATTAAAAAGATCAACAAGAAGTAAGGGAAATAGTGTCTGAAACTCTCAGCTTGGTCTGGATCTAGCTCTTAGAGGACCAGGGTGTCTTATTTCCAAATACTGATTGATTTTGGGTTTATGCGACCCTTGGTTGATAGATTGGGTGGCAGATTTGCCAAAAACGTGAGTGGAGCTGTGGTTGTTCTAGGGGAATTTAGTTTTTTTTTTTTTTTTTGCCTTGAAAAGGACTTTTGTTAAGGATCTTAAAAGAAAATTCCATAATCAACATGACAGGCAGATGCTTGTCCCAACCTTACAGTAAGTTGACCAAAGGGAGTTCTTGTGAGAAAGCTGGATGTAAAAACAAGAGCAGGGCTGGGGGATGTAGCTCAGTGGTAGAGTACTTGCCTAGCATGCATAAGGCCCTGAGTTCAAGCCCCAGTACCACCAAACAAACAAAACCCCCAAAAAAACAACAACATCAAGAGAGCAATCATAGGCATATAAGGTTTAGTAGATTTTTACCTCTCACTCGAAGGAGCACAAGAGAGGAATGCTAACTCTAGGTAATTCCACTTACTGTGCTTTGTTGCTTGTGTGGCACACTGATTTTTATTACAACAAAACTTATGCTTATATTTCTAGCCATCCCCTTTCCAACTTCACCAAACTATGATTTCCTACTCATTGAACATGGGCCTTAAGGTAGAAGATTATCTCAGGTTAGGTTTGTGTGAAGTCAAATGCTGTTGATTAGGGACTTCATTTCTGTCTGCCAAAGGATTGATACATTTCACTCTGTGCTATCAGAATACAAAATAGTGGAAGAAGTGGATCCTTGTGCTAAGGAGTTCATAATGTAATTCAGTATGGACTTTTAGAAAAAGTATCTGCTCTTGAAAAAGCATCAGTGTGAGACAAGGAAGAAAGAAGACACAGTTACTAATATCTTCTGTCACTATCCCATGTACTGTCCCAAGTTATATCATTTTTCCAGGCCTCACTTTCTGCTCATATTAGCCTCTGTCCACCATTCCTTATAAAATGCCACATTCCAGTCTCATCCTGTGTTGATTTTCTGCATAGCACTTACACCTCTTGACCTGTGCTACATTTGTCTTTGGTCTGTGAGCATTGGAATGCAGGCTGCATGAAACCGTGGACTGATTTTTTTTGCACTGCTACAGCTATAGTGTTTGTAGTAGTGTTGTATACACAGTAGCTGCTCCATAGGTATTTATTAAGTGGATTAATAAAACCATAGACATTCATTGGCAGGTACAGTGGGGGTAGATAAACATGTAAACAAGTCCTGTAGGGAGAACACATGGGACGGCAGAAAATGGAAACACAGAAGGAAAGAGTAGGCTTGAAGTAAGGAAGGAATGGGTGGGCACTTGATCAGTGTTTACTGAGACAGTACCCCGCTGTTGTACTTTTTTTGAGCATAGAATCCTCTAAACCCTTTGAGAATTGCAGTAACTTCTACCTCATCTCTCAAGGTCTTTAATCTTATGTTGATTTCAAGTTGTAGCTCAAAATTTTGTTCATAATCCTTTCTCAAGCTCTGTTCTAGTGATATTTTGGGCCAGCCAAGTCTACAGTCATCTTTTGCCTTGTAGATGGCTGTGGTATTCCCTTCTCTGTTCGTGCAGTTGTGACAGTCCAGAATAACTCCAGATGTTGGCAAATGATTTCTGGAGGGTAAAGTCACCCCCGGTTAGAACTGCTGGTCTACAGGAGGTGTATTGTAAATGATTGCTAATGTGAACCAGTTTATGTTTTAAATGTTTAAGATTGTTGTCTTGACTTTGTTAAATTTTTAAAATAATTTGACCTATCAGGATAACAGTTGGCTTTCAATACATGAAATTTATCTTGACTGTGTTCATAGCATTTGTGATCTAGGAATATAAGAACTTTCACATGGGTCAAATCTGGAAGAAATGCAGCCTGGGAATTTAGTGTCCTACAGTGATTTTGAGGGATAGGTTATAATGGAATGCTGTCCTTCTTCATGTTATCTCCAGAAGTCAGGATGGACCTTAAAATCTCATAATAAAGTCTATTATGGATTTATTGTGTATTAATTTGCATGTCTTATTTCAAAGTTTCTTTTAAGCTTACACCCCATTTTGTGGCAAAGAATTCAAAGATTCTTTGGATATGCTGGACCTATGTGGAGCAGTGGCTCTTTTTTCTCCCTTCAAAATTCATCTGTATTAAAGCATTAACCACTTACACATTCAAATTTATTTGGCTGTTTTTGTCCACGCAATGCCAGAATTTGTCCTTTTAATTTCATCTTTCTCATTGCTATTCTATGACTTTGAATTTTATTTGTGAAACAGGGCATATATTTTAGAATGTTAGAGGTGAAAGAAAGTTTAGAGATCATATAGTCTACTCTTATCATTTACAGATAGGGAAACTAGCTTTTTCTAGACATTCAAGGTATACCAATATTTGTAAACTGTACTAGCATTCTGGGCCAATAAGCAAACTACTTTATGCCTTTCCTATCAAGATAGGCAAATATCATGCCTGGGGAAAAACTTGGCACAAGAGAAAATTGGTTTGGTTTCAAAAAACCATCTTAGGTCTAGAAACTGCATTTTTTCTAGAATAATAAGAATCATACTTTTTGAGTTTTTATAGTAATTGGATAAGACTGTTTTCCAATGTATTGGGATGAACAGTTTTAACATCTGACTAGTACTCAGTGTCTAGAATAATTAATGGCTTTGAAAGTCTTCTAATGTAGCTAGAAAGTGCCTTTTAGATAGGAAAATAAATTTCTGTGAACAATGGACTACAAACTAACAGTGTTCATCCAACATTCTCCCTTGTTCAGGGGGATCGCATGTGGCACTTCGCAGTATCCGTGTTTCTGGTAGAGCTCTATGGAAACAGTCTCCTCCTGACGGCAGTGTATGGGCTGGTGGTGGCAGGGTCTGTTCTGGTCCTGGGAGCCATCATCGGTGACTGGGTGGATAAGAATGCCAGGCTGAAAGGTGAGTGTCCTTCCTTGTCTTAGCTCCCGCATTCATGGGACCGGCCTCTGAGCCTTCTCTGGATCAGGGGGAACAACAAACTAGGAGAGAAACTGCTGTACAACCCTGTTTTCATGCCACTCCTGAGCGAGGGTATTTTGGTGGCAGTACTTCTCTCTGGATTCAGGGCCCTAGGTTTTCTGCACAAATTCGGGATGCTGGGATATTGACCTAATAGATTTTTTGGGGGGTGTTGGCAGTTCATAAATTTCGGATGTTAATGATTAATACTATAGCCACTTTTCTGGGAAACATGTTAAACATTAAACGTTTGCTTAACTCAGGCTTCCTTCCTAACCATGACTTGCCCTGGGATTCCTTTAATGTGATGTTCTTGGGACAGCTTTAACAGCTGGCCCCTGAGTTACTGTATTTCACATAAAGATGTGTATGAGAGAACTGAAATATAAATATTAATTCAAGGTAGAATAGCTGAGCGTGGATCATAGAAAACTGAATTATAACATTTTTAGAGAAAAAGAAATAACACATTAGCATTATTATAGACTAGAACATTAAAACTTTAATCATTCTGTTTCATATAGCAAACAGAAAGTGATCAAGCAGTGCAGTTATTTAGAAAATAAAGAGCAGTGTGGATAATCACTCAGGGTAAAATTTTCTTGAATTATTCAGTTGATAATTCCTGGCCATGTCTGTCTTAGCGTTTGGGAAAAGATTGGGATCTCATTAATTTCTTTCAATCTTGACTGCTTCTAGATACACAGGAATAGGATTTTCAAATTGTAGAATTGACACTGCTAGGAAAATGGTCAAGATGACCTTTTTTTCCATTTTGAGAATGGGTAAACTAGAACACATAGAAAACAAGTTCTGTATCCTCAGGAAAAATATCCTCATTATTTACATCATTATTCAGAGGAAAATAAGAATATTACACATAGAAGCCTTTAATCTTATAAGGGAGCACTGCAATCATAGGTTGAGGAAAAAAATGTTGATTTGGAGGAAGGAGAATGTGGTGGGATACCAGTCTCCCACCTATCCTGTATAATCCACCCATGTGTCACCTTTCCTGAAAAATCCTTCCTCATGTCCCTAGGCTGAGTTTCCTATTTCTTTCTCTGTGCTCCCAAGAGGATGCGTTAGTGCCTCTGCTTTTGTACCTACAAGTTAGAATTATGTATTCACATGACCTTTCTTTTTCTGTCTGTGAGATCATGAAAGCTAAGAACTTCATCTGTTTGATATTTAATCATTGTGCAATAAATGCATGAATGAGTTATATGCTGATACTTCAGATTAATTTCAGAGAGCATTTTGTTTTGTTTTGAATCTTCCGTATGACCTTCCAAGCCAGGATGAGCTTTACTATCTTGGATAACAAGAGTTGTAATTATATGTTACATATGTCAAAGTGTTTTCATTAACATTTTATTTGAACATCATTTTGGCTCCATAAAGTAAAGAAGAGAGGTATTACCATCTCGCCTTCTAGACATAAACATGAGACATTAAACATCCTTCCCTTGACCATCTGCCTAGGGAGTGACAGAGAAGAGACTACCAGGTGTCCTTACCTGGCCTTCTTCTGGCACTTGATTCTGTATGAGGACCTCATTTCAAGAGAGTTGGGACTTTTTTGTGTGATGGAAGGTGTAGCTTAGAATTTCACAGTCAAGACAAATAAAATCAAGAAATTCATGACTGCTTTCTTCTTGGGAAATTTTTGAATGTTTTTCCTATTTGTTTGTCCCATTTTATCAGATTAAGCCTGGCATGTAGGAGATTATGAATGCCTTAACTTCTCAACATGTCAATAACCTCCTACATGTTCTTGTTTTAGCATATGTAACAAAGGGCTGAGAGATAGATCTTATCTTATCTGTGTAATAGTTCTGTTTATGACAGTATACGTGAAGAAAAAAATAAATGAAAATGTATTATGAAAGACTTCAACTAGCAGAAAAAGGTTACTGTTTTTCATTTGCAGATTTCACTGGTCTGCTATGATCTGCTGGGTTTTACTGAATAACTGAGGTGAAATTACTTTGGGAAGGTTTCCTTTTCCTGTGGTTATGTGTATGCATTCTGATAGGAAAGTAGTGATGTGTGGATAAAGACAGCCTGGGATATGCTGGGGTAGTAAAGCCTTGCTTCTTCCTCTGTTCAGTGGCCCAGACTTCCCTGGTGGTGCAGAATGTTTCAGTCATCGTATGTGGAGTCATCCTGATGATGGTTTTCTTGCATAAAAATGAGCTCCTGACCATGTACCATGGATGGGTCCTCGTAAGTGCTCAATAAGATTCTTTTCCAGTCTGTTTTCTTTAAATTTGTCTTAGTGCGTGTTTGCAGTACATAACAATTTTATTCCTCATGGGGAGTTGGTACACGTACAGAACGCATCTTCATTCTTTTGACTTTCTTTTCTCTTCTCCCTAGCCCCTCCCTTCCCATCTTGGCCCTCTTCCCATAGAGAGATCTATCTCTCTGTTTGCTATTGTCTGTCTTGTATTTTCTCTTTAAATTATATAGACTTTGGATTTCTCGTATAAGAGAATCCAAGCAATATTTAACCTTATGATCTGATTTATTTCACTTAACATTTTAATCTCAAGGTACATTCATTTCCCTACACATGATTCACATTTATTCCATGAGATTCCTGAGGGTAGAAAATTGACTTTCTGGTAGAGATAACGTTGAAAAACCTTTAAAGCTATAGGGTATTGTTTTCTTTTGCAAATGTGACATTTTAATGATTAATTTCTTGTCCACCAGAACATCCCTGATAGTTTGGTGTTGTTTTGCCTGTAGCAGATATTCATTAAGTATTATTTGAGTTAGAATTTTGTCTCATTGCTTTTTTGATGTTTCTAAGAGTATATTATATAATTCAGTTGTTAGTTTTCAGCTTATTTTGTTTTATTCTGTGAATTAATCACATTATACAAGAAATGTCCATGTACTATATATGCGTTAACCTGTCATAGTTGTAGTGCTCCGATAATAATTGTTATTTTTCTTTGGAAATATCCACTATACCCCTAGATGAGAAAGAGGAGAGTGGTAGAGTATAGTGCAAAACAATGAATTTGTATCACTATTGAATCATCTTATATGTATAAATATATTTATATTTGATGTTATATAGAGATAGAACATTATGAAATCTTCAAGTCTAGTCCCTTTATTTTGCTGATGGCAAAACTAAGACAAAATGAGCTTTGTTGATTATCCAATGTTGTACAACTAGAAAGGGTCAGAACTCTGACTTAAATACAGGTCGTTTCAGTTGCCGTTCGTTATCTTTTCAGTGGAGAAATTTGTGGGAAAAACGTGAAAAACACTACCACATTACCATTTTCTGACAACTATGTCATATGTATTTACAAGATTAATTTTACACTATATATGGCACAGGTGGTGCAGATTAGGGTACTACTGTGCCCTTCAACTTAACCATTGGTACTTGTTTCATGTATACAAAGGAAAATGATTTCTTATAGATGAGATGAAATTGAAAATTTACTGTTTTGTAACAAAGACAGTTTTGAGTTATCTTGTGTAGTGACCTACATATAATGTGATACACGGACACTGCAGCTCAATTTTTTCCTCATCACTCTTTAGACTTCCTGCTATATCATGATCATCACTATTGCAAATATTGCGAACTTGGCCAGTACTGCTACCGCGATAACAATCCAGAGGGACTGGATCGTTGTTGTCGCAGGAGAGAACAGAAGCAAGTTAGCAGGTAATTTGGTTTTATTTTTCAACTAAATTAATATTAGGATTTACTTTCAATCAGGGGCAAGAAAGGAGGCTATAACCCTTTTTATTTTTATTGTTCTGAGTAGGTTTTAACTATAAATTGAAAGCACAATTTTTTTTTTTTTACTTTATTGTCAGTCTTACTGCTAAGATTTATGTGTTATGATATTAATTTATAGGATAGTTAACTCTTTTATACTACGCACACTAGGCAAGTGGAACAACATCTCTTTTGAAATTTTTCCTTTTCTTTCTAAAAATTCTGCTACCTGTTACTACGTATTTATTTAAAACTGATGACAGTGAAAATCTGGCATGATATTTTGCGTGGATCTTTTTACTGTACTTAAGATTCATACTTTGGATATTGTTTTTCTCCATACCAATTGGAAACAGCTTAATAGGTGAGACCCTAGTAGCTAGTTCCTCCTACTTTAAAGTTAAAATCTATATATTTATATTTGGCATTCTTTCTTTCTTTTTTCTTCTTTCCGTCATCCCAGTTGTTCCTTCCTTTGGGCAATTTCTTTCCCTCATGATAACTGTATTGCTGATGTCTGATGGTGTATTGAAATGAACAGTTAATGATTATAATTTTTTATGTTCTGATCAATTGTGCCTGCTTGTGTCTGGTGGTCTGAGCAACTGATTTGAAGGTAACAATATGCAAGGGAATTACAATGGTGAACTACTACCATCTTGTCTAGTGAAACTCTGTGTTATCTCTACTGTTTTATTGAAGAATTATTTTCTTATTCCCTATAATGGTTTGAGCAATCTTTCATTCTTACATCTGGTAATCTGAGCAATGTAGTTGAGGATAGCGATATGTAATGTAACAACAACTGTTGATTCATATTATTTTGTCTTGAGACTCTGTATCACTTTGAATGTTCTTGTTTGATTTGTTTATGTTTGTGATACTGGTATGCTGCTACTGTTCTGTTTCTTTGTTTCTCATTTACTACTCTCTTTAAAATAAAAAAAAGTTAGAATCTATAACTTCTTTTGATTATTCAATTTTTAAATTTGTTTTAAAGAAAATAGTACAAAAAAAAGAATAGCAAAATACAAACAAAACAAAGCAAGGACATTAAAATGATACGGGGTTTCAAACCAAATGATAAGGATTAACAGTGGTTGTTATTTATTACATTATGTAGAATGTAATATAATTACGGTTAAAAAACTTAAAAATGGAGGCAAGAGTGCAGTTTTTAAGATGCTTACAAGTCACTGGAATCCGACACAAGTAGCCAAAAATGAGGAAAGCTTACAAAGCAACTTTGTCCTGTTACATCAGTCGTACTGTGGGTTCACAGCAGCCTCACTCACTTGCTATTCATCACCCTTTTCCCATATGACACACGGACACAAATTGGATTGACATCTACGTAGGGTAAAGGAGGAAGGGTACACCTGCCTAGCGGGCAGATCAGCTGAGTGAACTCTGCTGTCATTAAGGTCATGAGTATCGAAAACACATTGCTCAACCATCCTGGCGGATGAGAAAACCATTCTTGATGACTTAAGTAACTTATCCAAGAAGCAGAAGGCAGGATTATACACCAGGGTTCGCAAGCAGCTTTGTTTGACTGGACCTTGTGGTGACTGAAAGGGAACGAAGTCTGTGCAAGATCTAGAAGACTGTTTTGCTTCAAGCGTCATCTTATGTTACGGCAGCATATTGTAATCCAGATAGAAATCCACACCGACCATGAGGAGAGTGTATGCAGAGGGCGTGAGTCTGCACTGTAGGAAATTCTCACTGGTATTTCTTTCTGTGATTATTTATAAGAAGGAGTAATTCCGTGTGTCTTTTTGTTACACTGAAGAAAAGATAGGGCTTCTTCCTTTTTGGTTTGTTTACTTTCTTTTTTTAACATATTATTTTAAGCATCTAAAAATATGTCCCTGTTTTAAAATTCAGAGGGTACAAAAGGATATGTTTTAAAATGAGACCACACATATATTTGTTAGAATATATTTGGGGAAAGTCTCGTTGTGTCCTTATCTGGATTTCTTAACTTATTTTGAGCCTCTAACGTCTATTTTAAAAATCTACTCATATTGTACTCTGGAAAGTAGCTTTGTTAAAGAGAAAGTTATGCAAAATTTGTGACGAATCCTACTACCTACCATAAATTTAAAAATTCAAGGAACTTTTCTTTCTGATTATGAACTGATGTCCCAGAACAACAAAACTAGGACTAGCCGTTTCTAGCTATCACTAGTTATATTATGAATTATTGCAGAGTTGCACATTAAGCCAAGCAGCCTATTTTCTGACCTGCAGGAGTTTTCAAGTTTAAGAAAACTTGTATGCTGAACTCTTGTCCACTCTAAGTTAACTTTTCCTAAGCTGTGTGCTTTGCTACCGAGCAGCAGCAGGGGTTAGTAGACCGGTGGAGGAAAACATTTGTGTTTTCTTTCCTGAAAGTTTTGCCTCAGCATTTGTGTTCATTAAAGACTGTGTTGCAAAACAATACAGAAACTTTCTTTCAGTTCCGAGGGTCAGCAAATGTCTAGCTATGGAATCTGCTTTCATTTTTGCTAACGGAGGTTAAAGGAGAACAGAGAGAAAGAAGGCAGATAAAGGAAAAACAGAAGAGAAAGGAAAGAAAGTCTTTGGTTCTTGTGGGTCCCCGGGGGCTGCGTACCTTCCTACACAGACGCCCCTGCTCCGGTGGGAGTGATGCGTGTCTCCACAGGCTGATTTTTGAGGTTGCTGGCAGTGAGTTAGGAACCCAGGTTAGGGAACTGCGTGGCACGGGCTTCTCCTGTGTATGCTGGGTGCACCTATGGGGGGAAAGGTGTAAAAATGAACAACAAGGGTTATGAAGCGGATGCTAATTGCTCCCTTTTCCTTCTCCCTGCATTTCTTGATTTCAGAGGTAATTTTAAAATTGGAAGCTGCATTACTGAGGGTAAAGAACAGGAGCAATTTTCTCTGGGAAAGTTAGGCTCTCAGGCCAAAATACAGCTGTTACCCTCAAGTTTGGAATGGCCTGAGAAAAGCATTTTTCTAAACATATGTACTGTTAAGTAATCTGTTCAGTAAAATAGGTGCTTGCCAGGTATTTGATTTAGTACTTTATTAAAACATTCACTTTTACCCTGTGGTCTATGTAGCCTGCTTGAAATTCACTCCTTTCCCAGACTTTATACTCTTTCCGTTGCTTTATTTCTTTCCCTAGTCCCTTTATGGACCACTTTGTTGACATCTTGGGAAGATTCTCTGGCCAATCATTCTAAAGTAAAATCTGCTTATTAGCTCCGATCAAGGGTAAAAAGTTCATGTCTGAATTCTGTTGATTAAAATTGATTTCATGTTTGAGGCAGACAGATCTGTTTGCTACTATTTCCTCAGCAAATCCTTAAAAAAGTCCTTCTATAAGATGTAACATACCCTTTATAATAAAGGTCATTATTTATGTCATGGTCTGTTATACTTGTAGCCAAAACAGTTAAAACAGAACCAAAGGAGGGCACATTTATATTCATATGAAAAGAAGTGTTTGTAAAGTGAAAGGTTACGTACTCAGAAGTCTGATTACATGTGTATGTGTGTGTGTGTGTGTGTGTGTGTGTGTGTGTGTGCTGGGGATTGAACCCAGGGCCTTGTACATGCTGAGCACATGTTGTGCTACTAAGTTTCACCTTAGCCCAGAAGATGGATTCTATTCCAAGCTGTTACCAGGAAAATGATTAAGTCCTTTTACTTTTAAAAAAATTCAGAACAGTTGGTGCTTATATTATTTGATTAATTTTTCATGCTTATATCTTGTAATCTAAGATAACAATATACATTATAATAACGATTGTTAATCTCCTATTATCTTGGTTTGAAACTCTGTATCATTTTTGTTTTTCTCTCCTTAAATTAAAAAAAAAATAAATTTAATTTGTTCTTCAGAAAAATAAAAGCTATTTCTGATACCACACTTGTAGTGACATCTAAACATTGCTAACTTTCTATCATATAAAAGATAGAAACTGATGACTTTGGGAAGTTCCATGAGTGCTTGAAAACTGAGATAGTAAAAGAAGAACAACTTAAAAATCATTTTTGTTGTTGTTCTGTGGCTTTAAGACTTTAGTCGTTTGTTACTTTTTATTCAAATTATTGACCATTTGGATATATTCCACTCTTCTCTATTGGCATCTGCTGTGGAAACTTGTTAGAGGGCACCGGATGGGTGTTAGCAAGGCATCTGCAGAGGCAGTCACGTGTAAGATTGTGACAGCTGCCTTTGCATTCCAAGTGAAGGGTGACATGCGTCAAAGTTACCATGTTATAGCGGTGAGAATGGTGTCTGAGTTACACATTTAATAAGTACTGATAAAAATCAATAGAGTAACTACTGTGTTCATTTAAAAAGCTGATGTTAGACTAATTTCTAAAATTTGAAAGGAAGCACAATTTCTAAATTTGAAAGGAAGCACAATTTCTAAAATTTGAAAGGAAGCACAATTTCTAAATTTGAAAGGAAGCACAACTTTGAGGGAACTGTTGTTCCCCAAATAATAAAAGTTGTGGTAGCATGCTTGCTCACAGAGAGCTTTTAGAAATCTACATTTCAGCAGTCTGTGCTCTTAGCTTATCACTATTATTATGTATATGGCAGCCTTTCTTTGCTAGGCTTGAACTCCGACCTGCCTCTTCCACCTATCCCTGCAGATATGAACGCTACCATTCGAAGGATTGACCAGCTAACCAACATCTTGGCCCCCATGGCTGTGGGTCAGATTATGACATTTGGGTCCCCAGTCATTGGCTGCGGCTTCATCTCGGGATGGAATTTGGTGTCCATGTGTATGGAGTACTTTCTGCTCTGGAAGGTCTACCAGAAAACCCCTGCCCTGGCAGTGAAGGCTGCTCCTAAGGGAGAGGAAGCTGAATTGAAACAGCTGAATTTACGCAAAGGTAACTGGACACAGTGACCAGTCCTTTAGGTTCAGACTTTACACGTTGGTGAAGACCAAGACGATGCTGGATTTGTATGAGGTTTGATTTTCAGCGAAGGACTGGATAGGGGGGTTCTAGGGAACAATTCTGGGTGGACTTTGAATGGGTTGGAATGGGATCCCTGACTTTCTTGATGTGAGCAGTAGGCACAGAGAGGCAGTTAGCTGAGTGCTGGCTGGGCAGAATGGGTCATAAAAATGGTCAGACGATGGGAGAAAAGTAGAACAAGAGCATTCTCTGGGGCGTTAAAGACTTTGCAGGACAGTGGGAGGGAGTGGAAACATTAGGAGGAGCGCTTCCCAACGGAAGAGGAAGTCTGGCTCCTGGTAATTGGGATCTTAACAGATCTTAATAAGGTTCCTCGTTATTCCAGACAACTTCTATATTCTCTGAGCTGAGTTTTCCTGCTAGTCGCTTTAGAGGGAGGCTCATTTCTAAGAGAAAAAAAGAGGTCAGTATTATTTAACAAACTGGTGCTTGGAAATTGTTCTGCGGCTGGATTTCTTAGAGAATTTAGTCATGTAGCAACCAAGGGCACCCACCGAGGAGGGGGATAGGAAATGAAAAAATAGGAAAATGGTTTTTCTCCCCAAATAATGATTTTTTTTATTAACAGATACTGAGCCAAAACCTGTGGAGGGGTCTCATCTGATGGGCGAGAAAGACCCCAACATCCGTGAACTTGAACACGAGCAAGAGCCCACCTGCACCTCCCAGATAATGGAGCCCTTCCGCACTTTCCGAGACGGATGGGTCTCCTACTACAACCAGCCGGTGTTCCTGGCTGGCATGGGTCTTGCTTTCCTTTATATGACTGTCCTGGGCTTTGACTGCATCACCACTGGCTACGCCTACACTCAGGGGCTGAGCGGGTCCATCCTCAGCATCTTGATGGGCGCGTCGGCTATCACTGGCATAATGGGAACGGTGGCTTTTACCTGGCTGCGTCGGAAGTGTGGACTGGTTCGGACCGGTCTGATCTCAGGCTGGGCCCAGCTCTCCTGTTTGCTCCTGTGTGTGATCTCTGTGTTCATGCCCGGAAGCCCCTTGGACTTGTCCGTTTCTCCTTTTGAGGATATTCGTTCCAGGTTCGCTCAAGGAGAACCAGTGTCCACAACCACCAGAATACCCGAGACCATCTTCCCCACCGAGCCGCACGTGTCCAACGGGTCTGATGCCGGGGGCGCCATCCTGGAGATGAGCACCAAGCCCGTGCCCATCATCTCTGTGAGCCTGCTTTTCGCAGGCGTCATTGCTGCTAGAATCGGTAAGCAACGCCCGTTCTTGCGGTCATGAAATGAATCTTTCGGAAAGTTGACACAGAGATGCACCAATAGATGATCTGAACTATTTCTGGGATCCTAATTTCAGCCAAATCCATTATTTATGTATAGAATCCAGTCTTTAAACGTGAGATTTTTAATCTTGCTGTTGTTGGGAAATCCAGCACACTCTATGTGGTGAACTTGGTGCTTTGTACATGTTAGGCAAGCATTCTATCACTGAGCTACCCTACTAGCCCTTAACTATTACTTTTTTAAAATGCAATTGTATTTAAAAAAATATATTAGGTGTAATAATGCCTATAGTGCCGTATTAATAGTTTATAAGTTTTATATTGCTATAACTCTGCCACAAAATCTATATTGATACTGGTATAAGATAACATAAAGAAGAAAGTATTTTGCTTTGTTTTTTGTTTATTTATTATTATTATTGTTGTTATTATTTGAGACAAGGTCTTGCTACATAGTTCAGGCTGGCCTTGAACTTGCTATGTAGACAAGGCTGGACTCAAACTCATGGTGATCCTCCTGCCTCAGCCTCCTGGGTGCTGGGATTACAGGTGTGCACCACCACACTCAGCCTTGCTTTGTTCTTTGAAAGGCATATCAGTTATTAAAAACATCCTTCAAAAGTCCTCTCTAGCTGATCTGTATTTATTATACTGCCACACAAATGGGTTTTATAGCCCTGGAAGAAGTGAAAAGGCTTCTTAAAAGAAAAATTTATGTAATCATTAATGGAGTACTGATGAATATCTGACTGAATGTATTCTTAAAACGAAACCTTTTTAATCTTGTGATAAAAAGCAGCTCATTAATTTATCAAAGACATTAATACTCAAGCGAGACAGATTTATTGTAAGGGCGGTAGAATCCAAGCAATCAATGTAACAATGGTTTAAAGTTTCTTTACTCTAACCACAAGCAATGTACTAGGTGGTTTTAAACTTTAAAAGTATTAACGTTTATGGGGCTTATATCCCTGATTTCAGAGTTCTGCTTTTGTAGTATGAGTAATCAGAAAAATAGAACTAAGCTTATAGAGTAGATTTACTTTAGTCTGTATCTATAAATAATCATTTCTTAAAGCAATGAATAACCCATGATTAATGAAAAGAAATTCTTTAGGGCAAAGCTGTGACTAATATTTGATCTAGAGGGTAACTTAAAGGCCTAAAATGTATCTTTTGCATAAATCGAAGCTGAAATGTATGACTATAAATTCAGACTTTACAAAAATTCAGTCTTTACAAAAATCTGTTTTATTGTGTAGGTCTTTGGGCCTTTGATTTAACTGTGACACAGTTGCTGCAAGAGAACGTAATTGAGTCTGAAAGAGGCATTATAAACGGTGTACAGAACTCCATGAACTATCTCCTCGATCTTCTGCACTTCATCATGGTCATCCTGGCTCCGAATCCCGAAGCTTTCGGCCTGCTCGTGTTGATTTCAGTCTCCTTTGTGGCAATGGGCCATGTTATGTATTTCCGATTTGCCCACAAAACTCTGGGCAACCAGCTCTTTGTTTGTGGTTCTCAGGAAAAAGAAGTTTCAGATGAAAATCAAACCAATGCCTCTGTTGTGTAAGACAGTTTAGCCGTTGCTGTCCTTGTTACTAGATTATATGGAGCACATGTGCTTATTTTGTACTTCAGAATTCCAATAAATGCCTGGGTGTTTCTCTCTGGTTTTACCACAGCTATGCCTGGGGGGCTAAGAGCTAGTCAGGAAATCTAAATCAGCATACATGAGCTGGTTAATTTCCCTTCCATTTAGGTATGGAAAAAAAATGTTTAAGTATAGGGAGACTATAGTGATTAAAGTGAATTTTCTATTCTTCTGAGTAGATGAAATTTTACATTAAACAGTGGTTAAACATGTGAATTAGATTATTCATTGGCAGATATTTATTATCTGTACTAGAATTCAGGTAAGTCAGTTTTCCCTAAAACTCACTCTTGCTCAAACCTGGCTAATTAATTTGTTTTATGTCTTACTTGTCAGTTACATGATAAAACCAAGTTCTCCAAGTATGAAGATTACTGTTTGATAAACCAGTATTGTCCCTATTGATCCTATTGATCTGAAGGGATTTGATGTATGGAAAAATGAAACACTTAGCTAGAATTCTCTACTAACGTTTATGGTTTAACTTTAGAGAGCACTTTTATATTTTTATTATCAAATAGGCAAAATATTGTATTAAGCATATGTAGCTCTTCGTATAATGGCTATCATGTAAGCTACTGGTAGAAGCAAAGCTGCAAAGTAGATTTGTAAAGCAGTGAATGTGTAAGGAGTTTAAATGTGTCAGTAGTTTGCCATAGAAACTAGAAGCTAAAAGCTAACCACAGGAGTGTGATCCTAATTTGACCCGTGCCACTATCATTCGTAATACATCTCCTATACTATGGGAGAGAGGGCCTTTGGCCTGGCACGTTACGTACAGAAAGATACCCATACTTGGGAAGGTTTTGTTCTAGAAATCATTTGAATTACTTTTTATATACTCGGGTAGAACACTTATGCCCAGATGTTATCTTTACATTGTTCTAGAGCAAGAATTGCAGAAAAGTCTTCCTTTTAAATCTCTTTGAAAAGAATAGACCAAAAAATATTTGTACCTGTTTTAAAAAACTGTTTTACAAGTCCGTTCACAACATGCCAGTACCAGCAAGGTACCTTGCCTTAACCTCTCATGCACTTTCATGGAGACTGCAATACATTGCTATGTGCACTTTCTTTATCTTTCAGGTTTATCCTTTCTCTTCATCTTTCTACAGTATGACGTAATGAGTTGCTATGTTGTAAAATCTTTGTAAAATATTTCTATATAAAGATATTTTTAAAATCTTAGTTTCTTTTTTGCTGTGTTGTGTTCTCCGATTATTTAATATTGCTTTTGTTACAGAACGCCTGTTTTGGATAATGTGTTGCATTTTATAAAGGGCTACAGTTTCATAATTCGTATTTTTAGTTTACAGTGGCCTGGATAAAAGTGCAGTAAACCTGGGGCCCAGTGTTTATTCTTTGACCCTGAATAAGTCACATGAAGCTCCAAGTTCTAGTTTCCCTTCTATAAATTGGAGAGGAGCTATAAAAAACCCCACGTACCTTACAACTTCCCTGTTCAAGTCAGATGAGCACAGTCATGTGGAAACACTTTGTGAACTGCAGGTCGCTGTGGCAGTATTCCTAGAGCCTGAAGCTAGGTGATGACAAGGAGTCTGATACTCCAGAGAGAGGGGAGCCACGGTGTGGATTCCACAAACATAGACTGAAGACCTGACCCGTGGGAATGCAGATATGACTCACACATTGTTGATCCGGGTCACCCTCTCGTTTCCCCTAAAATCGGCAGCTGGGCAACTTTGGCAGTGTCCTGCAGCTGCTGACTGTCTTGTTGCAGTTGCATGGACAGCAGCTGCCCCTGTTAGGTTTGGTGATCTTGAACAGGCCTCGGCTGCTTCCCACGGCAGTCCGATTGGGGGTGCAGATCGGCCTTGAGTGTTCGCAGCAAAGGTCTATGACCTTGTGAAATGAATAGAATGAGACAAAGCAAGGCCTCAACCCTTCATGCAGGCACGTGGTCGGACTGTGCGCCTACAGGGAGAGGCCCTGTGTGGGAGGAAAGAGCAAGGAGCTGGTGAGTGAGTGAGAATTTTATAGTTCTGCGCTTATCTTGGCAGACTATGGCTCCGAGCAGGAAGCAGAGGGAAGTGGGGAATCACCACTGATCTGGACAGATTTGTGTTTACCGCCTCAGGGCTTAGAAGCAGTGCAGGGGTAGAAGACTGGGTGGGGAGTGGGGGTGGAGTGCGCTTCTGAAATGGGAGACACACTCAGATACCGACAGCGTCACTTAGGTCAGAGAGATGAGTGCAGTGGGTTGGAAATAGGAAAATAGTCCTCCCTTGTAGTAGGTAACTACATTTTTTGGGGGAAATAAGGTCTTGCTATGCAGTTCAGACTGGCCTTGACCTCCCTGTGTAGCCCATGCTCCCTTAAACTTGTGGTGACACTCCTGCCTCAGCCCCCCAAGTGCTGGGATCACAGGCGCGCGCCACCACACCCTGTAATTACATTTTCGAAAGCATCTCTTATTCGCTACATTTTTCTTCATGTTCCTTTCCACGCAGGCCTCTTACTGTGGTTAAGTGGGTTCTTTCAACATAGACTCCCTTTGTTTGTATATTAATCACAGGGAAGTAATCTTCATTGTCCAAGAAATATGCCAACCCTACTCGACCCCACCACCTGACTTGCTTGATTTTCCTTTCATTGTCCTCTACCCTTTGCACAAGAAAGAAGTTACTTTCTTGTTCATTATAAGACAAAAACAAATAAGCAAATGAAAAAAGGCAGTGGAAATGGTACCTGGCATTGAAAGCCCTGTTGGGAGCAGGTAGTTCTGAGTAGCCAGGGCTTGAGGAGCTGGGGACCCGGCACCCAGGCCAAGGGGTTATTGGGGATGTCCTCATCAGTGTGAAAGTGGACCCTGTGTCACCAGGTGCTCTAATCATTCAAGAGAACCTGGGAATCGATTTTTGTGGGACATTGCCATCTCTGGAATACCAGAAACTAACTTGAAAATGCTAAAAATACTTTGCTGGAAACAGTATCTGTGAGCTACCTGTGAACAACCCATGAACTGCTTTGATTGATTGATTGATTTTTAAATTTAAAAAATGAGATGGTTGATAACAAGGGAAAGGTATTCGGCTACAGCTTGTAAGTGTAGAAGGGAAAAAGGCATGTGCGCAAGAATTGCAGTCAGAACAACAAACAACTAGGCAAACATTTGTGATGGAAACTTTCAAACTACTAGGCATCCCTCGCTGGAGATCACTTTAGGTCAGATAATCTGTGCATTCATGAATGCCATATTGTGTCAGTGAAAATTTTTCCACATAGCTTTTTTATTCCAGATAATTGTTTAGACCGTTGGGTTATAGAATTGATGATGCTTTTAGAAAACTTCTAAAGTTTGCCTGAGTTATAAAGATAGTATGCTCCTGTTTTTAAAGAGATGAGCACACAGACCTTTAGAATCAAAGTCTTTTCTTCCTAGCCTACTCCCTGAGTCCTCTGGAGATTATGTCTGTATGGACTGACTTATATATATTTCTTTTTAGAGACAAGGTCTCACTATGTAGCTCAGGCTGGTCTTGAACTCACTATGTAGCACAGGCTGTCCTTGAACTTGTGGCGAACCTTGTACCTCAGCCCTCTGAGTGCTGGGAGTACAGGAGCGTGCCACCATGTACAACTGATTTGACTTATAGATGTACTTCAATAAATTCTAAGCAAGTTTAAAATAAATTCTGCTTGCATTAAGACTGTTGATATAGCCATTAAAATCTATATAGCCATTAAGTTATGTAACAGGGGGAATAGTTACTTACAAGTTGCCAAATATATTTATTACTAGTAGAAATAAATTTAGATTAAGATTCTTTTCAACCAAGACTGAAAAAGCCCCACAAAACCCAAAACACTGGGTTTTACTTTTCCTCATCAAGCAATACTTACTTCAAGCTCCTGATAGCTTCAGTGAAATGTTGTTCCTTTGTTCATAATATCTGCTTTCTTCCTTTTGATCTACCTTTCAGAATAATCTTTGCTATCAGAATATTTTTGTTTTACAAGATAGCAATTCAGGAACAGAGTTGGAATGTTAGAGCCTTGTGACAACTCATACCAATTTATTACAAGTCTGAACTGATGAGTTTGTCATGCTTTAAAAGTTAAATGACTTTTTTTCCTTATATGGAGACTTGTTTACATATTCTAGGTCCAAAAGGAAGCAAATATTTTGTCTGAAGTATGGACAAATGGGAGATGAAAGTACAAGTAAGTGCTTTTGTCCACATTCTTCACCCTGGCCTCTATGTGAGTATATATATTTTTCCATTTGAACATTTCTCTTATTGCCGTTTACTAGTGGAAAAGTGCACCGCAAATTTCTTGAAATAGTTATGTTCAAAATTGCCTTAGATGGCGCTTCTCCTTAGTTCATGTACGCAGTGATCGTAATTAATACAAGTTAATCCAATTACAGATTGACACTATAAAAGGATAAATGTTTTACAGTAACTGTAATACTTCAAGAGAAGTTCATATTTTGAAGAACTGCTTTTTAAAGCCTTTTAATAAATTATTCCTAATAAGCAGGAAGTATCACATTTAAACTCATACCTAAAGGAATATTTGAGCTTAGTGTGCGTGTCCTAGAAAGATGGTTGCCCAAAGACTGATTTAATTTTTTTTTTTAGTATTCTGTATTTACCAAATAGACTCATATTTTCTTATTTGTTAATTAAGGCATTTAAAAGATATTATAATAGAGTCATTATTCAAACATCAATTATTTGTTACTACCTTATTCATTTGCTTCTCATCATAACTCAAGAACATAATCATTTGTTCTTTGTAGATAGGACTTTTTTTTTTTTTTTGTCTTTTTGAGACAGGGTCTTGTTATGCAGTTCAGGTTGGCCTTGAACTCACTTTGTAGCCAAGGCTGATCTCAAACTCGCAACAATCCTCCTGCCTCAGCCTCCCAAGTGCTGGGATTACAGGCATGCACCACCATGCCCGGCTGTAGATAAGACTGAGTCTTAGGGTGTCATGCACTTACATGGCTAGCAAGAGGGAAAGCAGATCTAAAACCGTCTCTCTTTGCCTCCAAAAGCTGCTTTCTTTCCACCACACCATACAAGCACAGCCTGAGCTTTTGAGTGAGAAGTGCTGGAAAATTTTTAATCATTGTGAGAGGCCAATCTATTTATGGTGAGTGTATTTTACTTTACACAGTGAAACTGTCCTATTGAACATAAGGATTTGTTTTCTTTTCTTTTTTTTTTGAACATAAGGATTTCTAATTGTGTTTCCAGGGATCAAAAGTTTGCCCAATGTTCATGGCGGCCATGCCTTTTTAAAAAATCTTGGTTGGTCCTCTTACAACACTTAGCACGCTTTGGGGCTTTCCTAATGCCATATAAGATGGTGTGGGGATATGGGTAAAAGTGGTGGAAAAAAAGGTTTAAATTTGGCCTTGCTAATTATTCACTTTTGTGCAAATTATTTGATTTTCCTGAACTTCTGTTCCCCAATTTGCACAGTGGTAATATTAACATCTATCTCATAGGGATTAGGGCTCTTAGCCAAGTATTGGACATATAGCGCCAATAGCGTTTCTTAAATTGGTGGGTTAGAACTGAGGATATTCTTTGTTCCCAGTGACAGGATATTATTGACACATGAACCCTAGCACAACGGGCTGCAACCAAGGTGCAAGCCAGTTTTCTTTGACAGGAAGAGAAAAGTAGTGAGGGAAGCAGGCACGATGTTATATCCCGAATAACCACCCTCCTCTGCCCATGCAGAGCCTGAGCACAATGCTATCAACATGGTGATGTTTGCTAATAGATGACTAAAGAAAGTGAATCATTAATCTGGAGGGAGCTAATACTTTCAGTGAGAGCTTGGTTTTCCAGAACAAAGCTTTCCTGTTCTGACAGTGGGAGTGGAACTGATTACCTTTATGCTTTCTGCCTACTCTCCCCAGCCTATCCCCTGAAATACTTGCCCACTTACACTGAAAGCATCCCAAAGTGGTAGAAGAGAAAACAATGTACCGACAGCAGGGGAAAGTCACATGAGCTATGTGAGTTTATCAGCATAGCCTTTCATAACCGTAGGCAGATAACCAAGGGCGGTCAGATATTTAGGGAAACCAGTAGCACCAGGTAATAGGACCTAGATGAATACAGACAGGTGGACCAGGGGAGTAGAATAGAAGACATGTACCTTCAGACATCTGATCTTGACAAAGGGATCAAACATGTA